ACTTTTTATTTTTATTTTATTACTTTTTCTTTTTTAGAACTGGAGATAAAACCCAGGGCTTCAAGCATGCTAGGCTAACCTTCTACCACTGAGCCATACCTACAGCCTGATACTTTATTATTTTTTTACAGTGAAAAGAGTGTCTATCCCATTGGATTGGTTGATGATAACTGGGAATTTTTTATTTGCCAAAAATAAATTATATTTATATTTTTATTTTGCATTTATATTTTGCTTTATCTTGTTTTGGTTTTCATATTATTTTAAGGCAGGATTTCCCTGTGTAACAGCTCTACCTGTCTTGGAACTCACTCTGTAGACCAGACTGGGCTCAAACTCACAGAGATCCACCTGTCCCTGCCTCCCAAGTGCTGGATTAAAGGCATGAACTGCCACCACCTGACTCCCATTGTGTATTTTTAAAATGTGCATTTATATGTATGAAGTGGTAATTGTGTATTGTGTGGTATGTGTGCATATGTGTGTGTGTGTGCTAATGCTGGTGCCTGTGTGTGTGCAGAGGCCAGAGAAGGTCATGAGGCATCCTGCTCCTTTGTTCTCTACCTATTCCCTTAGGACAGGGTCACTTGCTGGGGTAGCCAGCATGCCCCAGTGAATTCTCCTGTGTAGCCCAACTCCATAGGCCTGGCTACAGGCATGCACAGGTTATATCCATGCCTAGTCTTTTTGCATAGTTTTGGAGGCTCAAACTCATGCTTTTACTGCAAGGGCTTTTATTGGAGCACTTGCGCCACCTTCCCAGTCCCCATTTGTGTGAGCACTTTCAACAGTTCTCAAACTTATAGAACAAATCGCTATTTCAGTATTGCAAAAGTCTACCATTTAGACTACCCTTCATAGCTTCATAGTTTTTTTTTTCTCTTCTATGTCTTATCCTAAAAGACATAGAGTGTCTTCTATAAGTATTTCAAGTTGTCTGCTTTGATGGTTAATGGGAGTAAAGGGAGAATCAATTCAAAATAAAAGTGGGAGTAGTTATTTAAGATCTCCAGGTGATTGGCAGCCCAGCAATGTGCTAACAAAGCAGGCTTGACTTTAGAAATGACTCCTTGTGTCTGGGGTAACAGCAGAGAGCCAGAGTCCGACCTGGCTAGGGTGTGTTCTGGTTGGCAGTATGAGGGCCCCCACATCTCTCACGGTGGCTTGGCAGCAGAACTTGGGGACACTCCCCATCCAGTTACAGGCCTGCTACCTGCACTCAATCTCTCTAGTAATAGGGACCAGCTCTGTGTGATCCTAAGACTTGAGTTTCTTTTGCCTTGAAGGTGCTGATGAGCATGGTGGCATCTGTTCTCTGTCCATCCGGGTATGTTTATACACTGTAGGAAGTTTAAGATGAACATGTGTTGAGGCTGTCTCCTCCATGCAGTAGCCCACATGGAGCACTAGTGGAGGATAGAGGTGGAGGAAAGATAAGTCCCCTCTCAAGGGCTTCCACCCGTCCCACCCCCAAGAGGGACACTTGCATGGGAAGACAATTTGAATCCTCAAATCCAGGGTTTGAAGACTGAATAGAGCAGTGGTTCTCAACCTGTAGGTCGTGACCCCTTGGGGGCGTGTCAAATGTCCCTTTCACAAGGGTTGCATGTCAGATAACCTATATGTCAGATATTTATATTATGATTCATAACAGTAGTAAAATTACAGTTATGAAGTAACAACAAAATAATTTTACAGTTGGGGGTCACTCCAACATGATAGTTTTATGGTTGGGGGTCACTACAACATGAGAAACAGTATTTTTTTTTTTTTTTTGGTTTTTCGAGACAGGGTTTCTATGTGGCTTTGGAGCCTGTCCTGGAACTCGCTCTTGTAGACCAGACTGGTCTTGAACTCGCAGAGATGCACCTGTCTCTGCCTCCCGAGTGCTGGGACTAAAGACATGCACCACCAACGCCCGGCTATGAGGAACAGTATTAAAGGGTCGCAGCATTAAGAAAGTTGAGAACCACTGAAGTAGAGAAACAGGAGGAGGGGTTAGATAATTGTCATCCATGTGCAGTTTGGTAGGAGAAACTGGTTCTGAAGTTCTTCTCTTGTTCGTTTTTGAGACAAGATCTTACTGTGTAGCCAGGGCTGGTCTTGAACTCCTAACTCTCCTGCTTCAGCCTCCTGAGTACTGAGGTCACAAGCATGATCCAACAGGCCCATGGCCTAGTTCAGGTATACTGTCACAAAGTAAGGCAACTATGGTCTGTAGCAATTTATGATTTATTTCAAAAGGCAACTAGAGAAGAAGGGTCCCGAGGCTTCCTACAGATGGATAAACGTTTGAGGAGGGGGAATTGTTAATTGTCTTGATTTAATCATTGCATACTTTACGCAAGTACCAAATTATTATGCTATGTAAATATGTAGATGGTAGTATGCACTGATTACAAAAAAAATTGCCAAATAACAAAGAAAAATGGAAAAGCCGAAATAGAAAACAAAACAAAACAAAAAAGTTCCCAAGCCAGAACAAAACCGAAGTGTCTGACACTCGTTTTGTGATAAGGCTTGGCCTGTTCTAAAATGTGGGGCTACCATTAAGTGAGAATCCTCATTTGTTCCTTTTAATCCATTTCCTAGCATGGATTTGTTCAGGACTCCCCACCAAGGATGCTACAGTGAGCTTTCACAATAGAAGGAGCAATGAGACACCCAGGGTAAAAACCCTTTCATATCACAGGGCCCTGATCACTGTGTTCCACCTGCTTCTTGATGGGCCCAGGGCCCGTGTTCACGCTCAGCTTTTCATGCATCTGGTTTTGTTTAGAGCCAGGATCTTACTTGCTGTGGATGGTCCTGAACTCCTGAATTGAAACAGTCCTATTGTCTCAAGACTTCCAAGTAGCTGGGTCTACAGGCTGCACTACTATCATGTTAAATAGTCTGTCAGATCATATAAAGAGAGGCAGGTGTTATTATTAGTTCTGGATGGTAGACTGGGGAGACTGACACCCAGTGTTAAATGTCCAGGTGCATCTGTTCCTCTTGTCGGGTGGTGGCAGGCCACACCTGGGCTCTCCAGTATCATAGTTCAGACTCTTAGAGTGGTATTGTAATGCATCTGTTAGGCCTGGCTTAAAATTGCAGGTCTTTGTGTGCTATGGCAAAGTGGAAAAACAAGAGTGGGTAGCCAGAGGGACCATCTGCAGGTGAGAACACCAGTTGGTGATGTCAGGAGATGACATTAAGACAAGCTGGGAGCTGTGGCTGTTCACCTGGGTGAAGGTTGGCATGCAGGTTGCAACAAAGTTTCTCCACTGGGAAGGCTGTCCTTCAACTCTGTTGCTTTAGAATGAAACAGAGTGACTCTTTACACATTCCAGGTCAGACAGGTTGCTCATACCAAAGCCTCTTGAACTTGACAAGGGTGAGGAGACCAGAGAATGGGTAACATTCTTGCTATGCCTTCCTAGTGTTGGAGAATGTGTCTAGATTTTCAGCTAGAAGCAATGCCATCCAAGACCTCACTCTTCATACTGCCCCTGCTCCCCTGCGAGGCTCAGAAGGCTGGAGCATTCTGTGGGGTGAGGAGATAGCCTTGTCTTACATCTTACAAATTTAGAATAATTCTGGTGATATATTTTGCTTCCGGATGCCTTCTGCTTTTATCATTTGGAGTTTAAAAGTGGCTTCTGTTTTTTTTTTTTTACAAGCTCAGATTTTGTTTTTGAATAAGCAGATAAGTAAATTTCTCATGTTCATTGTGTAGGTTTAGAAAGCACCGAAGAAGAAAGGAAAATGCATATCGCATATCACTCACTATTAACGCTTTAGCTTTAGCTTGCTCATTTACTAGTTCGTTTCCACGAAAGTACTTGTTCATATTCTGTTCCTGCAAATTTGGGACCCAACAGTGTATAAAGAGTTATAGCTGTGTCTCTACATTGTGGAATCTCCCTAGACCCAAATTTCTAGGTTGAATCCTTCTTAACCTTGGCAACTTTCTCTATAATTGGGGATTTTGATGATTTCCAGGCTCTCAAGATTGTAGAACATGTTGAGCAGCAATATTGCTTATAAAACCTGATCCAGAGATCTAGCATGTTCATGCTCCTGGAATGAAGATAGTTCACCTCTATGAAGACTTGGCACACGTGGTGTTTTACTGTGTGAACAATGTAGCAGAACCCTTTCTGTGTAAGCCACTGCTAAGATGGAAATAGGAAGTATCTAATTGCTTTTCACATTTGGATTCCAAGGGTACACTCCATTCATATACACCTGTTGTGCCAGGCAGAGTCGTAGCCACATACAGAGAGCTTGTTTAGCCCTCACTCAGCAGCCTTCAACCTTCAGAGGTGGGCTCTGTGATGTTTGTCTAAGTAAGATCCTATGGAGGAACAGTTTACCTGAAATGTCAGTGGAGGAATCCCACACATTCACTAGTTACCCTTCCTTGTTTTGAGGAAAGAGCATACGAACAGCCTGGCTGTGTGCCATGATCTTACACTTTTCTGATGCATCTACACCTATTGACATTTATGGCCCCTTCTCAACTCTCAGCACAGTTGCTGGAATGCTTATCTCACAAGGGATTATGCTGGCCTCAACCAAGACAGTTGCCTTGGTTCCAGATGTTGTTAGGCGAGTGGGGGTACCTGTCACACATGCCTGTGTCATCACCCTGAAAAGCCCCTATTTCCTCTCTCCTTTCTGGGTGCAGGCTTCTCTCCCTGCCTGCTATGTGTGGCTCTCCATGTTCAATATTAGGAATGGGTTTCTGTTTTCTGATGTTCAGCCTCAGGTACCTCCTTGGCTGTAAGAATGAACAAGGTAGAGTTTCATTTGATGCCTCAAGCTCTTTCTCCGGCTCCCCTATGGTGTTGTCAGTGGCTGGGAACATAGGCCACCACCGTAACCATGGAGATCTGCAGGCTTGGGGTTCATTCCAGGCTACTTGAGATTGACCATTCTCTTGGGACCTTTCATGATATGGTTTCATAAATCAGTAAGCTAAGAACTGCACAAATGTCTCCATCGTTTTCTAGAAAAGAAGCCCAAGAAGGACAAAGCATCGCGGGACTGGAGGGAGCGGAGGAATGCCATCAGGCTCACCAATGAGCACACAGTGGAGACCCTGGTGGTGGCCGATGCCGACATGGTGCAGTACCACGGGGCAGAGGCTGCGCAGAGGTTCATCCTCACTGTCATGAACATGGTGAGTCCACGAGAGGGTGCTGCCATGGGTGGGTTCAGATTTCCCGATGAGGGGAGCTCTGGAGGGAGCTGTGACTCCCTTATCTCCTGAGGCCAGGTGGCAGCTGGTTTGGGGTCACAGTCTGGGACTCTGAGAGCAGATGCAGTGAAAGGGAGAAAGTCTGCTTTGGATTCTACGTGCCATGATGTTTAAATGCACAGGTTTGCTCAGCGATGGGACTGCTCATGAACCACACTTTCAAGACCCTCCATACATGGAAGACCTATTCCAATTGACAGTCATATTGAAGGGAGAATCAGCCCTTGCTCTCATAATGATGAAATGACTTGGAGAAATTGTGAATATTTGAAAAATAGCCTACCATGTGCCTAAAGAACTTGTAGGAGCTGTGAGAGAGTTATCCAATGTGGATGCCAAGAAAGGGGTTATGAAGCCAGGTCTGCACCCAATTTGTTGAGTGGAGATAGAGAGGAAACCTTCTTTAGACAGTGGACGGGGGAGGGAGAGGTGACCTCCTCAATTATTAGACACCATGGGCTCTTCAAAGGCATCCACACTCCACCCAGCCATCTGTTTTCCCAGCAAGTGTTTTTGAAGGCCTTTAACAACCTGAACATTGTGTTCTGTGCTAGGGCTACAAGTGCAACACACGATGGTCCTTCCCTTAGGAGGCTATAGTCATAGCAGGCAGAGCATCCATTCTACCATGGAGACATCCGCAGGGACCCCTGATGTGCAGGCAGAGGGCTGCTGCTGGTGACCACCTAGCGTGAGGGCTCATGAAACAGCAAACCTTGATTGAAGAAGAAGGAAGTGCCGGTGGGGTGAGGATGGGTGGGAAGGTCATGCTGTGAGTGCAACAGGTGCAAGTCTTGGAGGCACACGCGCCGCCTTCAGAGGGAGGTCAAGCGACGCAGCTGCAGCAGGGACTGCAGGAGCCTTGAGGGAATGTGGATGGGTGTGGACAGAGGAGGTGAGCTGGAGTTCTGAGGGGTAGGGGCTTTACCCAGGAGACTGGGGCCACCCAAGTGTAGGAGAGCCTCATGTCAGCTCAGTGTTTGGAGGAGGAGCCAGAGCATCTGCGTGCCGGGTGGGTTGACATGAGGAGTGGTGAGAGGAAGATGTGCATGTGGGAAGGGGGTCTGAACTGATGGGCAGGGCCAGGGGGGGAGGAGCTGCAGGGACCAGGTGGGGAAAGACGGGTAGGAACCAGCGGGCATCAGGAGTAAAAAACCCTAGCTCACCTGGTCTTATGTGGCTGCCTGGACAGATGGTGGAGCTGCTGGCTGAGAAAAGGGGGGGCAGAGCATTTGAACCCCAGGAGGAGTTTCTCAGAGGACAAGCTGAGCTTAAGGCAAGATATTGGACTAGAAGGCTTGACTAGACTAGGAAATTGGGGCTTTTCAACCTGGCCCTGAAGCCCTAAAAGTGGCCAGCATTGCTCAGATGCAACTGTGAGTAGATAGTTTTGGGGTGCAGCAGCAATGAGGGATAGGCAGAAGAACCTAAGAGGAGGTCAACCCTAAGGAAAGGGGTGATGGGAGCAGAAAGTTAACTAACATTGCCAGATGTAGATAAAAGGTTTAGGGTACAGTAAATCAGGATGAGACAAAGATTGTAATTTGGAGCCACAAGATCTACTAAACTCTAAAGAGATCAGGCTACTCTAAGGCATATGGGGCTGGGGCTGGATGATGGTATTTCCCCCCTTCCCCAGAATCTATGCTGTCTTGGGACCTGGTACAATCAAGTTCTCTTGGTCTAGGGTTTGTACAGATTCCTGGCTATCTCGGAATGCATCTGCTCTTGTTTACCTGAGAGGATGGAGCCTGGGTACTGCGAAGGAAGCTAGCTGTGACAAGAAGGCTAGGTTGGTGGCTCCCAGCTTGCATGTTGGATTACAGTAGGGGGTCATGGTCCTCATGAGTGGGAAAGGATGCAGGTAGCTCTTTGTTCACATTTAGGTATCATGGGGTGGCCTGGAGGGTCCATGGGAAAGGGGGGACCCAGAAGCTGGAAGGACCTGATAATCCCCCTGCTGGGATCTCTGCTCTGTCTACATTGTAAATGGGATTGGAGATCTGGAAGACTGGAAGACAGCTCACCAGGACCGAGTCTGAAAGGAGTTCAAGGGCAAGGAGGCTCTGGGCATCTTGGGCACGGCCACTACATTAGACCCAAACTCTTCACCCTAACTGGCCACAGGGAAACAGGTGTTGGGTGTGTGTGTCCGTGTGTCCGTGTGTCCGTGTGTCCGTGTGTCCGTGTGTGTGTGTGTGTGTGTGTGTGTGTGTGTGTGTCCTGTCCCACAGTGGTGAACCTGCTGGTCAAGAGGATGAGCTCCTCATGCCCTGCTGTGTGAGGCTCCCTTCCCAGAGTGCTCTTGTCTTTTGTGAGAAGCCTCACCTCTCATGCCTTTGTCCTGCCCCTCAGATGTGCCCCTCTGGCAGAGTGGTTCCAGCGGCGTTCCCACAGCATGGTGAATTGACACATGTCCTCATGGGACTGGTAGTCATAAGGCATCGGTATTTGCTTTTATAAAGTGACTTAGACCCAGGAAGCTCTTTAATCACAGCTGGTTAAGGGTGGGATATGCTATTCTGTATCACTTCACCTGCAAGCCCCCCTGGGGCAGGAAGACTGTAGGAAAGGGGCCAGAGAGGTCCCAGCCCTTGCTTTCAGTCCTTGGATTGGGAAGAAAGCTGCTTGAGTTGGTGGTCCTCAGCACTCAGACCTGGGCTATGGAAAATAATAACTATCCACTTCTTGCTTAGGCAGAGATCCTGTACCCCTGGATGTCACACCCAGACTCACAAGGCAAACCCAGACAAGTAAAGGGCAAAACTAATAATTATTTCAGTCAATGCAGAAAAGGAGTTCGGCAAAATTCAATATCATTTTACAACAAGATGAAAAATAAAGTACAAAATCAAGCGGTCTCATTATCCTAAGAGCCATAAATGAGCATCCCATGGCTGACATAGTATCTGGTGGTAGACTGTAGAAAGCCTCTTACCTAGGAAGCAAGGCAGAGATGCTCACTGTTGCCACTTCTGTTAACATAGTGCTAGAAGCTTTAGCAAGAGAAGTTGAGCACAAAAATAAGTAAATAAATAAATAAGCCCATAAAAGCCATCTAAGTAGGAAAGAGACAGAATGGTCCGTGTTCACAGGTGATGTGGTGTTAACTAGAGGAAACTCTGAAGGTCAAACACATGCTTTGTGTGTGTGCATGTGCATGTGCGTGTGCATGTGCGTGTGCATGCGTTGTCACCAATAAACAGTAAAGTAGCAGTGCAAAACCCAACATGTACAGGCTGGTTTTGTTGGTGTGCTTGAACAGTGAACACTCTGAGAAGGACATTTAGAGGGAGTCCTATTTAAAACAGTATCAGAATAACAAAATACTGAGCATTAACGTAATCGGGATGGAAAAGCCTACACAGTGAAAGCAGTAACACATTAATGACTGGGGTCAAAGAAGGGATGGGCCCTGTCTCGAAAAACCAAAAAAAAAAAAAAAAAAAAAAAGAAGGGATGGGCATGAAGCCGTTGGGATGGGTTTAAAGACAGCCACACTAAAACCATCCACAGATGCTGTTTCTGTGAATTCCTTGATGATTGGGGGTTTTAGAAAAATACATCTTAAAAGCCATATGGAATCTGAAATGAAAAAGAACAAAGTTGGAGATTCACACTTCCTGACCTCAGATTTTCTTCAGAGTTAAAACCAAAGCACTTCTCTACTGTTGATACCTTGAGACAGGTGGAGTAAATGAGAACCCAGAAGTTGACAGTGACATAGTCTTGTCAAATGGTTTTTGACACAGATGCTAATAGGGGAGAATTGGGGAACCCACATGCAAAAGAGTAAAACCAGAGCCCCTGTGACAGCATATTCAAAACTTAAAATATGCTGAATCTAAGAACTGACACTATTAAACACAGAAGGAAGAGGGAGGTCATTACATTCAACGTGGCAGCAATTTCTAGGATATATCAAAGGCACAGACAACAGAAAAAGGAAAAATAGACACATTAGATTTCAGCACAATTAAAAATTCCTGTGCATCAAAATACCCCATTAACATGGCAAAAGAGCAACCCACAGAATGGGAGAAATATTTGCAAATTATATATCAGATAATATTGAGAATATAGACTTCTAAAATGGAACAATAGTGTCAACAACAGAAAACAATCAGTTTAACACTGGGAAAGTATTTGAACAGTCTTTTTTTGAAAAGATTTACAGACAGCTAATAAATATGTGAAAGATGCTTAGCACTAATCACCAATAGGAAAGTGGAAGTCAAACCCAGAGTGAGATACTTCCTCACCAACTGGGACATCTACTATAAAGTTAACAGACACATGCGTGAAACCAAAACTGAGGGAGTATCCATGAGGGTGTAGAGGAAGGAGATCTGATAGAGATGTAAACCAGTGCAGCTGCTATGAGAAATGAGACAAGCCCTACTTACGATCCGGCAATTGTGCTTTTGAGAAATCAATGACATGGATAGATATTTGGACATCTGTGTTACAGTAGTGGAAGCAACCAAAGCATGCGTTGATGCCTGAGCAGATAGACAAATGTGGCACATATGTATATGAAGAGATTAGCCTTTACGTGGAAGGAAACACTGGAGCTTGTGAGGTGATGCCTCAGTGGTTAAGAGCATTGTCTGCTCTTGCAGAGGACCCAGATTCAGTTTCCAACATCCACATGACAGTTCACAGCTATCTATAATTCCAGTTTCAGGGGAGCCGATGCCCTTTTTTGGCCCCTGTGGGCACCAGGCACTTCTAGTGTACAAACATACACATAGGCAAACATTCATACACGTAAGAAAAAAGTAAATATTTTTTAAGCAAACCTTTTAAAGGAAAGAAATTGTGAAAAACAGCTGTAATACAGATGACCCTTAAGGACGTGTGCTGAGTGACACAGAGCAACCGTAAAAAGTCAAGTGCTGTGCGAGTCCATTTTCATTTGG